TCTGACTATTAACCAGATATGTGACTAATGCTTAAGACAAGTCCCAGGCAGAACCAGGAAATGACATCTTATCCTAAGACTTACTACACAGAGAACCAGGGAACTTGCCTGGGTATATGTCCTTAGTGATCTGTTGAGAATAGCCGCATACTATCTAATTTTAAAGTTGGGGTCTGGGTGACTGTGACTCAGGGCTCCATGGTGTGATCCATACCCCAACCACCACATAGCCAGATGATGGAAATGCAATTGTGGTCCTTTCCTCGCTTCTGCAAACCCACCTGCAACCGTGTTCAATGGACCTGTCCAACTTAGCACTTGTGAAGATTCCCTTTATTTTCTATCACCATGACTATCCCCATGGCTCTGAGTCCATGGATTCCATCTGGCCTCTGCTTTATGCACGGTGATGGGATGATTGTCATTGGGTTTTTAAATTTTTATTTTTGTAACAAAGGAAGAACTTGATTGTTATGCCCTCGTGTGGCTCAGTGGGTCCCTGAGCCAATTGTCACTGTTTTGTCTTTGTCCTGTTTGAGGCTTAATAAAGGTCTCTGTAGGAAAAAGAAGAGGAAAAAAAAAGGTGATTCATGGTTGCCTGCTAGAGAGGCATTTTTTAGGTGTGTGTGGGCAGAAATGTTCTAAAGTTGATTGTGGTGATGATGGCACTTTGTGACAGTTCTAACTAAAACTGCTCTTACATGGGTGAACTTTCTGGCATCTGGATTATATCCTCTGTAAGGCTGTATTATTATTGTTGTTGTTGTTGTTATTTCTGGGTAAGGCTGTTGATTTGAAAAAGAATCCATTCCAGAGTTGAAGGCAGGCAAAAAGCTTCAAATCTCTTTTCAGCATGGAATCTCCAGATGACTTGGCAACATAGAAAATCAGCCAGGGATCAAGTCATGGTTTACAAACGACAGCCAGGTCAGGCTGACACCCCCCCACCCCCACCCCCGCCCCACCACACGTAGGATGCTGGGATGGCAGCAGGCACAGACCAGGAAGGCGGAACAAGCAGCCCCTTTGCTCGCAGTTGTTGCTGGGAAGCTTCTGGGCACTCAGCAACCCAGTGAGAGTCAGTTCAGAAACCAGACCTTCAAAGGGAAGTGCTCTCTGTGGGCAGTAGAGGGTTCATGCGGTGGCCTGAGCAGACCCTTTCTTTGCCTTCCTTTTTTGGGGGGTGGGTTGTGTGTGACTTTATCTCCCCCAAGCTCCTCCTTCCAGAGCCCAGGGATTCTGGGACCCAGACTGCGAGGGCCCAGCAGCCTGGTCCAGCCCCTCATTCCCCCTGCCTCGTGTGTGCCCCATCAACTCTGGGACCTGACCGGTGACCCTTTTGTGCACAGTCCTCCCCTGATTCAGAAGATCCCTGGGCTGACAGCCCCCTCCAGAAGCGCTTGGCAGGCACAGCCCCCTTTGTGGGCAAGTTGACCTTGGCTTGTGGGTTTTGACGTGTTCACATCGGCTGGTGGGTAGGGTGGGATTTGGCCTTTCATCCGGGCA